GGTCACCTTTCCAGCAGGAGGGTAAGGACAAACACAGCAAGAACAGCAGCCGTGTGGCAGAAGTCCCCTTTGCAGGGCTGCGATGGTGGCACCCTCTGCTCAGCCTGACGTGGGGTCCAGGACGATGCCCAGCGTGGGAGCATTACCCCGTGTTCCCTACTCCTGTGGCTGGTGGGGGAGATGCTGCAGTGATGCATATGCATGTTATTTAGCTGTATATACACGTGTGTACATACTACGGCATGCATCCGACGCATATTGAGATAAATAATATTTTGAGAACAAACATTTCATTTTAAAAGTCACTCTGTGACAACAAGTTAATTATCTATCATATCATCTCTCAAACCCAAACATTTTGAAAGCTAGGAAATAACTAATTAAGATCATCATAAATCTTACTCTGTCTCACAAGCACATTTTCCGAAGAAATAGGAAGAAATACATATTTCATCACAATGCAACATCCGTAACTCTGACCTATAAGATATTAATGACTGGTTCACACAGTTTCTCTATCTAAACACTTTTTTTTGCAAAGGTTACCATAAGGTAGCACAGGATAATTATTTGGTAACGCTTTCCTGGCAACCTGACTTCCAATAAATCTGTAGACAGAGATAGTTAGGAGACAAAAAAAAAAAAAATAAAGACAACATTGGGATCCTCTCACCTAACACAGCCCACGTGACTTCCTCAGATCCATTTTGCTTTGAACCAGGACAAATCTTATAAAGGAAGATAATTAACTGCTCTCAGTTAAAGCTTTGCTCCCTTTTCCTCCTCCAGACAACTGCTCCCAACAGGCTGCTTACACTCAAACCTCTACCCACTCCTGGGGCTTTCCTCTGAAGCGTGTTTAGCCACAGGTTTAGCAAACAGCTGGCCATTTCTAGAAGACAACTTCAGATTGATCCTGGATAGATAAATCAAATCCACTGGAGAAGGTGCATAAAGCTAGGCCAGAACTACACTATTAACATGCTCAACATGACTGAAGAGCTTAAGGACTTGAACATGGAGGAAATTTCAGATTGTTTTTTTTAATTAGCGTGTGAAACGCAGGTGGGACAACCATTCAAGCAAGTCTTTGAGCCTGGAACCATGTTTAATAGGAAAAGGGTGTTCACACGTAGCATCAGGACTACAAAGGAATAAAGATGAGGTGGGGGAGAGATCAGCAAAGGAAGACACATTTGGAAATCAAAAAATACAGGAACAAAATGAAACCTGGCAGGACTCAGGCAGAGTTAGATCTTGAAGCGGAGACAGAAACACAGCAAAAAAGGGCTTTCATCATAAAAGGAGAGCAAGTGTCAAAGCACAGCTGCTCTGCACTCATGGTGGAGTTTTGTGTTTGGGTAGTTTGGACATGGCCCCGAGAATAAATCAATGCTCAGTGCCTGGTGAGGGCAAAGGCAAGGAAAGCACATGTAGAAATGGCAACAATCCTCACCTCTGTGATGGTCCAGAGCAGAGGGAGGCAGATGCTCTTCATGGGCTATCACTCGGAGACACAGCATCCAGGAGCCAACCCCTGTGACTGCAAGGCAGGAGATGCAGCACCTCTGCTCAGTTCTGCAAAGCCAGTGGGCTGACCTCAAGCACCTGCAAGGCCTCAAAACAAGTTTTGAAGCTGGAATCACTTGGGACTCAAGAGCTTGCTACATGGAAAGTGAGCCAAGACACAACATGGCTCTTGCAAATTTGAGTATTAGTGGGCAAATCCCCGAACCAGCTTTCTAGGTGAATCAGGAGGTTCAGCTGAGGAAGGCTTCACTGAATGCTGCCCCGTGGGACACATCCCATTGGGGTGGGAGTATGGGCATTGTGGGACATGGGACTGGGAAGCAGAGAGGGGTAGAGTAGGGTTAAGCTGAAGGACTGCAGAAGTGCCGTGCAAGACCATGTGCTTCCTTTGGGCACAAAGAGCTGCCTTCAGCCCAGAGGATGTCAAACACCAATCCACCTCCACATCCATAAGCCAGGGCCATGGCAGGAGCAGAAACCCCTGGCCTCAGGGCATAGTAGGCTTTGATACAGTCTAGGGTGGTTATTCAAACAGACCTAAACATAGTGCTACATACAAGGAGGCTCTTACACTGATGAAGCAGGCCCTCATTTTGTGAAGGACATTTGCAAGTGAATTTAAGCTAGAGGAAAAAAAAGCCCTTTTCATACTGGAATTAAAACGTCTAGACAGAGCCTTCCTGGTGTAACCGGACCTGCGTATACTGATTGTGATACACCTGATAAAACTTCCCATGTAGACAGGGACTAAGAAATACTTTGGCAGAAATTCCAGCAGGAGCCATTTGAAAAGTCTTTAATCTCAAGAATTGCTTATGCTATGTAATGAAGTCTGCATTGTGGCTGTTCGTTACATGGACCCTAAACCCTAGAAAGCAAGAGGATTTTCTTTGGCATTATGACAGGAATCCACAGCATAGACAAGGCTGGCCCTCAGCGTGAGGTCATACCTCCCTCTAGCTGCTGGTCCTGGGGACTCAGCAGCCTTTGACCACCCAACGCCTACACAAGCTCCTCTTCTGACCCTTCCTACGTACCGGTACTTCCAGTGGTGCAGGTCTTGGGGTCACTTCTTGCTGCCTGCAGGGCTCCTCCCAGGGAGTGCAAAACAGCTCCACTTTTGGGGAGGACATACTCCAAAAGGGACGTAGAGATGCCAAGAGTAAAACCCACAAGGTCAATGGATTCTTCAAAATAAGCCAGTATAGATTAGTCAACGTGGCATGCAGAGAGCCCAGGACCCTCTGCAGAGGAGACATCCCACACCCCACCCACATCGTGGCTTACACCTCCTCTTAGTCCAGCTAAATCCACAAAAGACCTTCAAGTCCATTTTCTCCCTCTGGTGTACAGCAGGATCCAAGCAGTGCTCAGCATCACATTGGTCTTCCCAGAGATATGTTCCCCCAGACCAACAGCCCCAGGTCTCTGCTATTACAATGTTGCTGCATCACTCTCATCTTCAGGCCTAGAACCAGAGCTTGCCATCAAAATGCCACCATCGTCACCAAAATGCCCCAGCAATCCCAGAGAAGGAGCTCATTCCAAGAACTGCAGCCACTCCATAACATCTCACAGCGCAGCAAAGGACACTGCTTTTTTGGAAGGATGCAAAGCCTTTTTATTTTTTGAAGAACTGGACGGGAGCCTTGATTTAGTGGGCTGGCTCAAAGATTTTTTTTTGTCACATAGGTCAGAGTTGGCCCAGTTGGTCCCACTGGCACTTCCAAGTCAGCTTCTTCCTTACATGTTCACATTGAAAGGGCAAAACTTGTACAAATCCTAGCCTGATGGTCCCTTCAGCCAGCCACTGCTGAGCAACGTTGGAGAGGTGCGTGAGTGTGTGCGTGGAGAGACTTCCCACCTGCCATAAAGCTGGTGGTGATGACTCCTCCCAGAAATCCAAACGATCCTCAACAACAACCCCTACCCCAACTTCCCTTAACTGCAACTTATTTTCTTCAGATGCATCTGGACATGTAAATACTCTAGAAGTGCAAACAGGTTTTGAGGAGCAAGAGACAGAGCCCAGCAGGGAAAAAAATATATCAACATTTCAGTGTCTAGGAAGGGTCCAGCTAAAATACTCACTACTCACAAACCTCTAAAAAAAACGCTCCTCAGGCACAGCAGGAACCTTATCAGCTCTCCACAGCACAAACACAATTTCCAGCTCCGATCACTTTTCTAAGCCAAACCCACAAGAGAACTAAAATGGGACTTTATCACGCAGCTGAGCACAATCCTGGGGCTCCTTCTCACCCCTCCGGTCAGGCAGGTTGTGTGTGCAGGACCTGGCCTTCACGCTATTCCAGTGCTAATTGTAGGAAAGAGGCACCATGGGGTGAAGGTGACTTCAAGCCACCTTCCAGCATGGGGCTGGGGAAAGTCTTAGACCTCTTAAATTCACCTTTCTTCTCCCAGAATCTGGAAGCAAAGAGCGTCCATGTGGCAAGGCAATGGCCACAGCTCTGCTCTTCCCTCTAAGCAAAAGCTGGCTCTCCAGAGCCCCTCTGCAAGATCTGTAGAGATCTAAGAGAGCCTTCTCACATCACCTGAAGGCCCCTTTACAATGCCAGCACTATATAGAGGGGCTCCAGCCTGAAGCCAACCGCAGAGCACATCTGCAACAGACCCTGGCAGGACCAGTGTGTCTGAATAACCACGTGCACACATGCACAAACAGACACACACACACACACTGTCCACCTTGCAAAGTTTCCCCTGGATTTTTGTTACCATGTCATCTATTAATTACCTAATTACATCTTCTAATTATGGGATTCCTCCAGTATTTATACTCATTACATAAATGGCGGCAATTACACTAATTAGGTTAATGATACAGGATAACAGTCTACAAATTGCTTTAAAGGGACACTCTCAAGGCACATAGGCCAAGGATGCTCCCTGGCAGGTCAGCTGGTGGGTGGCATGCAGAGATGCTCCCTCACCCCATGTAGCTGCTGCTGCCTCCTCGTGTGGCCTCTACTTGAGCACTGGGGCTGCTGCTACGAGGCCTCGCTCTGCCCCAAAAAACAGAGAGGGGCTGCAAAGAGACCTACCAGGGAGATAAGGAAGCAGCTCTCTATTGCGTTTCCACCAAAAACTGCAGTCCACTATTTAAGCATCACCCTCTCTAAGCTGGAGGAAGGCTTGCAAACGGTTCTCCTCTGGCAGCATAGAAACCTGGGACGGAGAAGACGGAGAACCTGCATCCTTCTAGGCTCCCCAGCACCACTTCTGAATGCACCCCAAATCCTCGAGTCCTGCTCAGCTGGGTACGACCCAGTCTTTTGCCTCTAAGCATTTCCAAAATGGCAGGTTTGCAGAGAGGAAATCCAGCTCCTCTGCTCCAGCCAGGTTCCCTGGAGCACTGGTGGCACTCTGCAGAGCCAAGCATGTCCTCAGGGTGAAAGGCAAGCCACAGGAGGCTGGAAGGAATCTATTTTGCTGAGCGCCCTACTTACCCAGATTTGCTGGAGACCGAGTGGCGCATGACAAGGTGCTTGCCCCTATAACTCATCCAAAAGGATCCTAAAGCAGCGCCAAGCTCCATTACTCTCTGGAGTGGCCTCAAGCACAGGGAGAAAACTTTCTCGCTTGGATTCGAACGCAGGCACTTCTCCGGTGGAACACGGGAGCCCTTTGCAGCACTTTGGAGCGTGATGAATGGCCCTTTGTCCTGCAGCCACTACAGAAAGAGAATGTAATTACCCAAACTGGAATTCGGCCAGGATGCAATTTTACGCTGAATGAATTTCCTCCCCCCCCTTCCTTAAAGTGTTTGCAAATCCCCCTTTAAAGATAAAATCCCGGAATAAAATCCAGTGCTTGCTTCAAAATTGGCCCAATTCCATTATAAGTCAACTGAACAACTCCATTTTGCACCTTTAAAGGCCGTGGAGGCTCTCTATGTTGCGCAAGAGATTTCGTTATTGGCAAGGTTGAGGAATGCTGATTTCTGCTACCGAACCCGCTGTCTTTAGCCCTAAACTATATCCCTGTGTCAGCTGCCCAAAGACATGTGTAACCAGGTCCATTTTCTGAAAGATATACAGCTGCGTCCGGCTTTATAGCCCGTTCCAGCAGGACATGGCTGGCACTTCCAGTGGAGCAGGCTGACCGGTCTCCACTCTAACAGGCAGGGTCTATGGCTCCAGCGGGAGTCTTGCAGGAGCATATATCGATTGTAAATAATGTCTCAATATCCTATAGTAGGTCATAAATCAAAAAGGGGTTGAAATATCTTTTCTCCAAGGGACTTTTTTTTTTTTTTTTTAAGGGAGCTTTTTTTTTTTTTTTTTAAAGGAGTCTATTTCTTGTTTAGCAGTTTTCTTTTTTAGAGTTACTGCATCGACCTTTTACCCCAAGTGCCAGGTTTGAATCGTGGCCGCTGATCCCCGCTTGACCTGCCCTGGGGACACGTAGCAGCTCTGTGATGAATCTAGGACCCGGGTGTCCCATGAGAGAATAGTCACATCTCACACGTGGGCCAAAGCCCCCAGCCCAGGTGGTGCCCCTTCCCTTGGGTGGGCCTTGCAGAGCAAGCCAAGCCCCACAGCAGCCACATCTCCTCTGGTCACAGACTATGGCCTGGGGGAGAGTCTAGGATGTAACAGCATTAGAGACATGCACCATGGAGACAGGCATCTCGTAGGGGGTGGAGGAAGCAGAGATCCTCCCCGCTGGCATGGAGCAACACCATCCTCAACTTCTCTGCAGCTTATTTGATTCGTTACCAACCCAAAAAATAAAAACAAGCTTTGAGCCAATGAAGACCTTATCCTTTCTCCTGTTCTACAGGCCATGAGAAATCTCTCCAAAAGCCTAACCATCAACCCAAACCTCTCCCTTCCTCCTTTGGGGAGACCTCCCACATGCCTCCAAGCTATACGTGCTGGCACGGCAATGCAGCAAAAGGAACGGCCTCAGGATTTTGTCCTGCTGGATGTGCTGCTGACACTGCCATTGGCCTGGGGCTTGTACCCACACGTTGTTATCAACACGGGACAGATGCAGCCTCCAACCCACTGTGCACAGCCCTGCACCAGCCACCTCCTCAGTGGTCATGACTTGCAGACCCATTTGACATGGTTTTCAGGGCAGACACTCCTTTTTTTTTGTCAACTCTCCGTAGGGCCCTATTACAGAGTCACTTTGTCTTGCCAAGTACCAGTTTCTCAAATTACTGCATTATTCTGGAAAACAGAAAAAGAAAAAGCCTACTTTGGGCCATTTTTAGGGGTCCTGAGCAGAGGGAACTGAATACCTGACAGGAGGACAGAAAAACCAACAGTTTGCTGTCTAGAAAGTCCTCTAAAATGATCCAAGCTGAGCCTCCCTGTTGTACAATGCTATGTGGCACCTGGGGACACCTCCAGCTCCTCTCCCAGCATCTCCTGTGTGCCACCAGCATCATGCACGACAAGGTGGACACAGCACCCTGATGGCCACAGGCAGCAGGACACGGTCCTACTGCTCCCCCTCCAGCACTGCCTTGGTAGGACCTGGGAAATATTGATTTCTTCAAGACCAAGAAGTATTTAAGCTTGACTGGCAATAAAATCAAGCCCAAGGAAAGGTGCGACGGAATCTCTTGGGACTGAAACAAGAACTATGATGTTTAAAGAAGCCAAGAGGGAATAAAAGGGAAGGAAGGGTGGGAGGGGAATAGCATTTACCTGCACAAAAGCAAGAACGTTGACAATAGCCCAGCTCAGCTCCAGCTTGCACGGGAGACTTTGGAGAAGGGGGTGGGAGGCAAGGTGGGAAATTACCAGGAGCTTAAGAAAATATATATGTAAAAATTAAAAAAATAAAATAAAACTGTATCAGCATTGACTAATAATTTCCGGGCTCTGTGCAGATGTCATTAATGACCCTTTTTATTCATGCAGGAGTTCCCAAAGAGGAGCATAATGTTCCATTAGTAATAATTGAGAAAGTCTCCTGTCGGGATTATGTCAAAACCTAGAGATGCTGCTGCTGCCAAAACATTTTGGTGACAAACGTGTGAAGCGTTTGACAGAAGGTGCCACAGCAGGTTGAGGCGGCTTCAGGAGGGGAATCCTAGGAGGAGAGAAGAGGTGGGAGACAGCAGCAGGGTGAGAGCTGAGCACCAATTTACTCATGAAACACGGCTCAAGGGATGAGCCCACCTACTGCGACACCTTCAGGGTCACGATGGCACCTCAGAGATGCCGCTGGAGACTGCTGAGGATTTCAGCTGACCCATCTTCTCTCCCACTCCCAAGACTTTGTAACACATCTGAAATATATCCTCTGGCATGGCGCAGCACTGCTGGATCCTTTCGCCCGGGGACGACTGTGTCCTCAGCTACTGGAGAAAGGCAGGGGTGTTGCAACACCCTGAACGTTCCTTGCTGCTGCCCCAGTGAGGGCTGGCGACCACTGCAGTCACCAGCACAAAGGGCAAACCCAGGACAAAGCTGCTGTGAGCAATTAACCCAACGTGTCCCATTTGAAGAGGATGGAGAAAACATCTGGTGACGCAAGTATTTCAACCTACAGCAAGGCTGGACAATACCTCTTTGAGCTATGAACCGCCAGTGAAATATAGACAAATGGGAAAATAAATTCCTTCTACCAAATCTTTCCCATTTACAATTGGGATATTTCTATTTTTGCCCTGCAGACACAGAGCCCTGCTTGACCACAGCTGGTGCCTCAGAACAGGCATTACACTGCTGCTGCACAAATGCCACCAGAAAACACAGAAAAAGCAAGCGGCTTTCCAGGCTCAGTCCTTTTCCAACAAAGGGTTAGTTAATGCCTTGCAGGAGCCAAAAGAACATATTCCCTCCTCTGTCCTCATCGTCCCCCTCACCGAACCCTTCCTGTGACTGGACCCCCAACATTATCTACCCTTCACACTGCTCTTCCAAACCAGAAACCATCTACTGCAGCACACGGTGCAGGGAGCCGTGCTGCAAACTGGCACTGCCACCGTAAGTTGTGTGGACCCGGGCGTTGTGGTACGCAGAGATCTGTGTTGCACTGTTGGGGATGGCACAGCTTGGCACCACGACATCCCTGGGCTCAACAGACACGAGTTACGGGGCTGGGGAGTTGGCCAAGCTCAGGAGAAAGATCAGCAAGATACGGGAAGGGGTCCCCAGGCATCAGTGGGAACAGGGGATAAGCCAGGCAGATGGGCAACACAAGGGGAGAGCTAGGGAAGCCACCCTGGCTCCCCATCCCTGGCAAGGGAGGCTTTGTCCCCCACAAGCACAGCTCCTTCTGCAACATAGCCTGGCATGGGGAAGCACCTGTGGGTCAAGCACCATGAGCCACACGTTCCCAACCTGCTGCACAGAACCAGGCAGGTCACTTGGCCAAGTCAGCACCCGCTGCCAGAGGGTTTTAAATGCAAGCACTGTCCTGGCTGCAGCAATGCAGCTGGGGAAGCCCAAGCCAGAGCACCTTAAAGTCAGCATTATTCAGAGCCATGGACACAAAAAAAAAAGTTTCTCACCACCATATTATTTGCCCTTTTAGAGCAGGGAGGTATTTGGAGCCGAGACATTGGTTCAGGCAGCATTTAAAGCCATGAAATTTGAATTTGGATCCAGAGCTGGAGCATAAAAGCCATCCCCAGTTTGCAGAGGTTGATTCAGGCTCATTTCTAGTCCCCAGACCACAGCAGAAGGGCCTCTCTTCCCCGGGGCAGGAGCAGAGCAGCTGGTACTCTTCAGCCCAGTTAACAGACGAGGTCTGGCCACCGCAGCCGAGGGCTGCTCCAGATTTGTTTTCTAGTGGTTTGTTCATTGAGAGGATGCCAATGTGTTAGCAACGAGAAATGCACACTGGCCTGATTCTCCCCAGCCCTGCCTTGCACCAGAGGAGATGTGCTGGAAGCTGGAGTGAAGGCCCTGCCGAAGGAGAGCGTGTGCTTGGCTCTGCTGTAACCGCTTCCTTAGAGGACAGAGCCAGAGGACATCCCAAACGGCTCCAATTAGGGCAACCCCCTTAAAGACAAGGCTGTGGGCCCCCCTACACCACTTTGCATGCCCACCCCATGGAGTCCTGCCCACAGGTCTGGTGTAGCCAAATTAGCAGTGTCATCTCCCCCAACACCTGCAGAAAAGCTGCGACTTGTGGCCTCACCGCGGTGGCCTCACGGAACTGGAGGCAGAAGTGCCATTTGAACAGAGCGTGAAGGCTGATTGCTGTAATTGAGCCTACCAGGGGAATTTTGGTCTGTGGGAATGCACAGTACATCCCAGCCTGCAGGAACAGGGGCGGAGAATACCCGAGCTGTTCCATTCGAGGACTAATAATGATGGGTTTTTGCTAGGACTCAAGCTGGCACGGATGAGAGCTCCCACAGAGCGCAGAGTCAGCCAAATTAAGCGCTGGTCCTCCCTTGGAGAAATCCAGTCTAGAAGAGTTAGTCACAGGATGCTGCCAGCCTGGGTGCAGGCCACGCAGAGAAGGAGGTGGCAGGCGAGGAGCCCTGTGTCCTTGCTGGATTCCTGCTGAGGAATCAGCTAACTCTGGTCTTACAGCCCGTGCTATTCAGGGGGCAAGAGACCAAGCAGTAGTGGCGAGGTGATGCAGGGGAGGGGAGCAAGATGATGTTCAGGTATCTTTCCTCTCATCAGCTAAGGCCACAGGGCAGGTCTTGCATGGAATTAGCAGCAGAAAAGGAAAAATACAT